TCCCCCCCCCCCCCCCCCCCCCTCAACCCCTCTGGTGGGTGCTCTGGTGAGGTTTGCTCCTTCGTTCCTCTATAGAACATACATCATCCGTATCTCTCCTCCTTTTCTTTTATTTTTGTCACTCTCTCGTAACACCTGTAATCTTCGGAACTTATAAAACCTAATTGTGTATCAAGTGCCGCAAAATTCTCACTGTAACAAACAACCCTATCACCCAACTTCCCCTGTATTACTTCAGGGGGAAAGCTATGTTTTACAAGATGTCATAACTATTAGCACATTGTGCTCCAGGATTAGCATCCATCGTTTGCCTTGCGTTTATTGGGGTTGGGGGGGGGGGGTGCATATCGCCCTGAGGAAATCTAAATATTTCCATTTAGCTTCCATACAACCCTGAAGGGCGGCAAACATAAAAATAAATAAATAAAGCGACGACGCTGTACACAATATAAATCAATTTAACGGAGGAAGAACAGGTTCACATTTTAAAAAAACAAAAAAACAAAAAACAAGCGGCCTCATATTATGACCTTATGAGGTCGTGAACGCCATAAAACTTTAACCAAACTGAAACTGAAAAATAATAATGGAAAGCATGTCGGAAAAAGACTCGGTGCATTTATTGTTTCATGATGACTACACAGCCACCACACAGAACGACTGTGAATAGAAGGAAAATACAACCAGCCAACATAACTTATTTCTGAACTACCATTCAGTAAATAGAAGAGCACATGTACATACCCATATAATACCGACCACCTGATGCAGGCCAGACAGACAGACAAACAAACAAAAACAACATAGGAAAAGAAAAGAAGGAGGATTATATCCTAGTGGCGCCCAGATAAAATTGTTGAGTAAAGAGAAGCACAGTTCCACAAAATACCGGCCACTCAACGCGGGATAAAGCAGGACACAATATAGACTGATCAGACCGAAATAGTGAAAGAAAAGAAGTTGGACGCACAGGTGACGACCTCTACCCAACCACCTAGATATATAATGCTGACCACCCACTCAGATACATAATGCTGACCCAAATATATACATCAATTTATATATATAGATATATATTAATGCTGACCACCCACCAAGATATATAAGGCTGACCACCTACCCAAATATGTAATGCAGACCCAAATATATGATAGATAGATAGATATAGATATATAGATATAGATA